GATTTCAAATAATGAGCTTTGATCTTTCAAGAACTGGATAATAATGAAAAATCGTAGACATGCATTGTGTAGGCCAAGACGCTTGTTGAGATATTTGTTAATAACTAATTAACTGGACGAAAAATCGCGTCCAAAACTGTAAGGGAACGTCACTTAAGATTTATACTGTATTCTTTAATTTCAAAAGTGCACAAATTGTTTTTGAAATTTGAATAATTAGTGAATATCCAACAGATATAGGAAAGAGAAATACGTCTGTCCTTGTCGTCCAATAGTGCGCTCCTTCTTTGTTACGTCACGTGTGTCTGTCCTTTTTGCACAGTATCGCGCTTCTTGTCTAACAGTAGTTCAGATACCTCCGTTTGTATTCTATATTCCTGTTACATTACAGAATTTCTGGAGTCAGTTCGAGACGGAATGACAACATCCGATTAAAAAAGAATAGCACTATCACGCGACAAGGAGAGATATACTTTTCTGTCTAATTCATTCGATATTCGTTAATTACTCGATTTCTAGCACGAAATTATGCACTTTTGGAATCGTAGAATAAAGTCCAATCTACAAGCAATATTCACGCATAGTTTTATGTCGGAATTGTTGCTTATTTTGTCAGTTATTAATGATTATTGCACGACACTCCGTTACTACGGATAATTGACACGATGAATTTTAGCATAATTTGGATTAACAGATAACCAATTAATGATCTTTGTGCATAGAATATAAAGTACAGAGTTTAAGGAAGCTTCTGCGATTTCAAGTAATGCGTTTTAATCTTGCAGAAGCTTAACAGTAATGAAAAATTGTTGACATGTATCACGTAACACCAGACACTCGTCGAAATAATTGTTAATAATTAATTAATTAAATACAAAATAATATTCAAAATAATATAGGAATGTTGCTTTAGGTTTATACTTTACTATCCAATTCCAAAAGTGTACAAATTTATCCCAGGAATAGAGTAATTATCGAACATCTGGTAGATTAGAAAGAAAAGTGTATCTGTCCTTATCGTAGAATAATGAGCTCCTCGTCTGTTACGCGGTACATGTTTTGCCCTTATCGGACAATATAATGTTCCTTATCTAACAGTAGTTGAGATACCTCTTTGCATATTCTATATTCCTATTACACTTTCGAATTTTTGGTCGTAAATGTCGTGAATTTTTAGCCCAATAAATGGTAAGAGCACCTAGTTCATAAAAAGAAAAAAGAGTAGTACTATTGTACAAAAAGAAAACATATTTCTCCGTCTAATTTATCTGATATTCATTAATTATTCAGTTCTATAATTATTCAAATTAAACAAATTTGCGAGAAAAATCCATTAAAACGATTAATTTATGACTATAACTTTTTCAGTTTCATTTTTCTAATTAGATCCTACATCTTCCTACATTTCATATATTCCTTATTACATACTATACTTTTTGTTTATAATAAAACTACACACTCTGTGTCCCTGTTTCTAATTTTTTAACGATTTTGACGATATTCAAATAAATGATACTACTATCTATATAATTGTAGAAAAGAAACACAATACTGTGCAACAGAAATGTTACTTACCTTTATTTCTGACTATAGAGATTTTATAATTTGTTCTCTTAACCTAATAGCAATATTTCATGGCAACAATTAAATTAAAGTGAATACAATCAATTACATTATAAAAGCAAATATTGATTAGTATCCCAATAATTTTTTAATTATGTAAAATTCTACTTGAGCATGCTGAAACTGAGATACTCTTATTTTGCACATTGCACATGATATACTGCATTAAACATGTTTCAATACCTTGTCCTTGAGTTTGCTGACGGACAATAACAGCCAAACCATGCTCTAATTGATGACCATTAAATATATCCATTGATGAGGTCATTATCTCAGCATATATGACCAAACGTCCTAATTCCTTTGTTGTTAAATTCTGTAGGAATGAAAATTTAAGAAACAAATCTTCAAAACAATAAATTATTATAGATATTGTTAACTTCAATATGTTTTGACAACATACATTACCTCAAAATATTCTACAGTTGAGAAATTGTCAGGACATTGATAAACCATAATTGGCAGGAATGAAATTGAAGCGGGTTGTGGAACTGTGCTGCTTTTACAAAACTGGATTTCCAGTTTTGGCATTTTTAAAGTGTCACCTTCTTTCATTCTATCCTTCAATCTCTCTAACAATTGTACTTTTAACTATAAAATATTTAAAAAAATGCATATAAACATTCATATTTTTTGTTCCATAAATCTTATATAAATCTTCTGCATGTATTATTCACATATAATTTTCTAAACATTCACTTTATAAAAATTATTAGGTATTATTCACAGAAAAATTAGTAACTTTCACATGGCACAAGCGTAGTTAATTCAAAAGCAAGAAATATAGCGTGAATCGGTAGAAATCATTATCTTTAGTATGCTTTAATAATGATAGCAATTATAGAATCATTTTTAATATGCTTTAGTAATAATAGCAAAATAATTTATTGAAGACTGTTACATAGTAAAAAGGGAGACACTGTTAGACATGGAATCAAATGTAATACAAATAATATTTATACTATAAACTTTAAGAAGGATAATGCTTTTATGTAAATTCAAATCCATACCAAGACAATTTCTCATAAATTTTTCATTTCTCAGATTGCTATAAGTCATTCAGATTCAACTATATTGACATTGATTTAAATTTGTAGATACATATTAAAATTGATCCCATCCCTAATTATTATATAGTAATACTTGCTTTCAGCGGCATTTCTAAAAGCAATGTTAAATTGACAAGAATGCTTTTAGTATTATTTTTTGACAGTGACTGCCAGAAGGAAAATAATTACTTATTGTGTAAAATCATCCAAGTCAGTTATCAGTCAGCCAAATTATTCACAAAACGCTTATATCTCCTTCAACAAAGTTGAAAAATATTGCGCACAAAATGACATTAACAGTATTTAACAACATTATATAATAATGTTGATAGACTCCCTTCTACCATGCTTCATTCAATAAATTTTTTCCTAATTCTGGTAATATCAGATACTGAGAATAATAATCCTTATTGCTTTTTTATATGCAAACGCAATTTGTATAGAACAAAAATCACCTATGTAAAAAATATCACTGTCATAATTAATAGTTTACCAAATACATATAAATATTTTCTTCAGAAATAATATTTGGATTTCATACCTCGTGACGCCCCAAAAAGAAGGCAGGCGTATAAGTTGCAGGTGCAGTTTTTTGTGAACTACTACGAATTTCCATTTGAAGATGTGCTTTCAATAAATCATTGAATATTTCCAATCTAGTTGCATTACTTTCCTTCAAAGCATTAAATTTACTTTCTTCCAGTTCATATTGCATTGGATCCACTTCTAGATGTATTTGAGAAAAAACAAGCTTTCCACCACTTTCTGGAAGAGTGGCAAGTAAAATACTTGGTGTATGCCATGTTTCCTCTGTTCCAAGTACTTTTAGATCAAACGAATGCGAATTTCCCTTTTTGTCTTTTACGCTTACCGATGCTGGTGGAGATACACTAGACACTCTGAAAAAAAAAAAATTCTGAAATTTCTCGAACTAAATTTCAAAATGATCAAACTCAAATATTACAAATATTATTCTTCACACAAAAATACATTTTCTATCTTCAACTTGTAAGCACACAAAATTATAGTTAAATCTTACTTTATGTCTTCATGATCCTGCGAGAATCTCGTCCTTACGGGAGATGCCTGATAACAAAATATATGATGCATCATGCGTACGTGCTTCCATTTCCCATAAGAAAAATGAACCAGCTCATTTTCTCGTACTTCTGCCGTTTTAAATGATGGAAGTAAAATATGAATTACATCAGAGCATAAAGCGAGCAGTTTACCACCGCGAAGAATATATTCTACGATTTGGCTTCCAATCTCATTGCCAACGTTTCCACAAACAACCACTAAAGCTGCATTTCCTATCCAAGCGTCATTACGCGCTTCTTCTGATGATAACACATAAATAGTGTATCTAATTATAAAAGAAATCCAATAAATATCTTACAAGATTTATTATTTTTTCATATATTGCGTTAAACTTCAACGTTTTGCTATTATGTATAAAATAACATAATATCAAATAAATAATATTATTTTTTTTATCTTCTACTTCTGTAACTTAATCATATGTCGCATGATGTATTTTAATCCATTATATACTTTTAATCAATTATATATTATTAAATATAATAAAAAAAATGATCATACTTATCCGTGCCAAGAGATTCTTCCAAAACATTTTTTACATTGTTGCGTGCAATAAAACTATCAGCATATATTAGGACATTTGGTGGTTTTACATTCTTTTTTGATAACTTTGTTGTTATCTCTGCCATAGAATTTCTATAAAATAAATATTTCATTAAATTTACCAAATACTTAGATAGATACAGTATGTTTAAATACAATTGAAGTATTAATGTTTTGCATGATTTCCATATGCATACAAAATTTTTATCTTTTTCTTTTAAATAACTACTTTTGCAAAATACCCACTTGAAAGGACTTGCAGATAATGTTCTTTTGATATTCTTAGCATCATAAAAAGTCTTTGGTTCAAAAGGTTTACTTGTACTTTTTATATCACTGCAAGATACTTGTCTGGTGCTTATACTACTAGATACATCTTCTAAATTGTCAAGCATATCAAGTGATTTACTAGTAGAATGCGGAACACCTTGAAACTTAGTGGTATCTTCTGTGATCTTTTGTATTTCATCTCGAGATAATTGATCTTCATATTGAGGAATAGTTACTGAAACTGATGTAGAAACTTGACTTCTACATTCACTTTCTATAAAAAAAATAATTTTTCTTAAATAAATTAAATTATTGAGATTTGTAATTTATATAACATATGATTAGTCATAAAATACTATTATACTTATAAAATTTTTGTTTAACAATTTTTTGTATATACCTAGCGTTTCGTTAGATTCCACACGTTTCATCAATTCAATATCCGCACTCGTTACAGCATTTTCTGGATATATTATTAAGCCTGGAAGGTCCTTAACTTCAAATGGTTTACATTTCTCGGATGCAAGTTTGGCAGTGTCGCTTAATGATTTTAATTTTTCCGTATGCATTCTCCATTCCTCTTTGTCTATAAATTCTTAGAAAAATAGATATAAAACTTATTTTATGCGATTTTCATTTCTTACTTTTATTTATATATTATGCAATATAAATTACACAAAGTGATATACAAAATATATAATACACGTATACTTTTTTTTTACTAGAATGCTCTTGAGTTCTAAATCATTCATTCATATTAATAAAAATTCGAAGAACAAATTCGTCTAGAATTAATAATAGCACGAAGAATCAATGATTTTTAGGAGTTATTCAATTTTTTCTCAACATGAATCTCGAGAGTAAATTCGGTTCCAGCAAACACACAAAACTCATTTCATGTAATTAAAAATAAATTAATCTTTACATAGACAAGATATCTCACGAATGCATTCTTTAATATTTACAACTAAATATTAATTCACAAAGCAAAATAAAATGTTTACTTTTAAATTGTTGGTTTATTTCGCTTCGTATGTTATATTTCATGAAATTCATGAGTATTGGATCATCAGATATTTGAAGACCTAATATATAATTAAAAATTGCTGCATAGAATTGCTAGAGTTTACAGATGTATTAAGATAATGGAGATACGATAAAATAAGACAATTAAAAAAAGAAAATAACAGATCTAGACAAACAGTATGGTAAAGATTCTGTAAAGTATGTACTCAAATACAATAAGCCTATTCTCAGCTTTACATGTAAACGAAGAACTATGTTTATCCTTTTAACGTTTCAACCAAAAATAGATTAAAAAAACAGTTCATTCACCAAAGAATGAAACATCTACCATTAATAACATGAAACTCTAATTATATGAAACTCTTACTTTTACTTGGGGATGAATTCAACACGTCACTATTGTAAAGACAAGGCTTTCCTGATATCAGGACAGCTGGAAAAATATATATAAAGCTATTACATATATTTTTAATATTAAATATATATAAAGCTATTATAATCCGAATACTTTGAAAAGTAAAGTTAAAATCTATACATACTTTCTATTCGTTTCAACAACAAGCCATTATTAATATAACATTGACCTTCCATTGCTGCAATAAAAAATTTTGCAACCATGTCTAAATCAGACTCTATAATTAAATCGACATTTTTATTTGCCGTCCACGTAATAATTAAACCATAATCTTCGACCTAAAATATATAACATTTAAACTACAAAAATATTATATTTAAATTACAAAAACGGAATGTTAAAATTGATAAACTCTGTTGACTTCTCAAATAAATATTTCTGTCCAAACATAGAGAAAAATTTTCAAAAATAATTAGATTGTAAAATATGATATTTATTTGCATTTATTTCAATCATTTTGTTCTTTAAATAATAAAATTACTTATGTACACTTTATTAAAATAATTATATTTAGTGAAAAACATGATTAATACAAGTGGATATAATACCTTTGTAGCATGTGTCGCAGCAACAGGATTATAGCTTTCAAGATCAGCTTCAACAAGAATATAAAGTTTGTACTCTGATTGTAACAAAGTTCCATTACGATTATTTATATGTAAAGGAAAAAACGTTTTTCCATACTGATACATTAACCAACTTGAGATGTCAACTTTTTGCTGGTAAAAATAGCAATTAACTCAATGATTAATTATATTCAAACAACAATAATTTGTTTATGCTATCATTGCTTGATGCATACTTGAGGAAATATAGTGCACAATCTCATATCATCATAGTACCATAGTAATTCTTCTAGTCTAGCATCACTTTTATTCATACATAGACAAGAAGTCATAAATTCATCATTTTCATAATCATTCATGGGAGAATTTGATTCTTAAAATAATAAATAATATTTTAAATCCATTATATTAAAGTTTTTTAGTATATGTTTTAAATTTTATATATATATATATATATATATATATATATATATGTATGTATGTGTGTTATATATATAAATTTATTAAAATTTAATACCAAAATGAAATAGCACAAAATGAGTCACTAATTATCATAACATAAATTTATTATATAATATAACACTTTATTAGTATATATGACAATTTACATCCAAGTGCAAAACTAAGGAAATATAAGAACTAACAATATAATATAGTAGAATTGTATTAGTTTTGGATATTTTATACATTAATAATAATAATAATAATAATAATTACATGCATGTAACGTTAAATAGATAATAAACTTACAAAATCAATAAAAATGCAAATGATATTTCATGTATGCAAGTATATAAATATTGAACTAACACTTAAGTCTGAAAAAGTGAAAGCAACAAATAATTACTATCTACAAATTATAATATACAATGTGTATTGTGTATATATAAAAGTTTCTGATTTATTTATAAAGAATATGTTACAAATTTATAAAAAAGAAATAAATAACTCTTATTCCCTATAATTAAAATAACATTTTTAAAACACTACAAATCATATTAATATAACAATAATATATTATTATAATACATGTTATTATACAATTATTATAAATGACAATACTTATAAAACTTACATAGAATATATAATTTAAAAACTATTATCTTAAAAATATAAAAACTTTATTAGTGACTAATTGTTTAATAACTCTACTGTAATAATTATGAATGAATTTTAATAATCAAGTGTAATAATTATAATTATACTTGATAACCATAATTTCAAACATAATGTAACATATCTGCAAATTGTCTTCTTTAAAAATTTTATTTTAAACTAATATAAATTAATTTTATTTCATTTTTTATTTTATACTAAAAAGAATGCAAGATTATAATAATAAAATATATAATAAAAATAAATGATAATTGAATAATTGTTATAAATAACCAATAATATTATAATAATTATATTGAAAATATATTAATAATTAATATAATCTTATTTTTTACTTTAGGAATATATAAAGTTTTTAAATTACATAAAAAACTGCATAATTTATCAACAATTTATAATATTATCAAATATAAATATTAATGAATTACCTTTATTTGAAGCTAGTGTTTTATTATAAAACATTATTGATGGATAAGTGGTTGTGTCCCCTTGAAATAAACTGCGTAGATGACTCTTTAAGAATAAAATTCTTCTTGATTGGATTGATGTTGCTACCATATAAAGAAATGTCAAGATCATGTTGATAAAATTATATTCGAAATTTCAATATATATGTAATTCCTGAAACAATTATTTATATTATACATTTTTTATATCTCCATTTTAATTTCTTGTGAAATGAACTATAATTCATTAATAATTTCAATAAAGTATAACAAAATTCATGTGTTTTACATTTTTAATGTAATATATATAATATATAGTAAAATTGTACTCATGTAAATTTATTAAAATGTACTCGTGTAGATTTATTAAAATTTAGAAGATTTTGAAGAGTTTGAAGATTTGTGTAAATTTATTTATGTACTCGTGTAAATTTATTAAAATTTAGACACTTAATCGTATATAATATATCAAAAACTATAACCTAAAAAATTCTTAAATAATTCTTAAATTACATAGTTCTTAAAACCAATTAACACATATTAATTAATAATGATTATATCGATGAAATAGTCACAAATAAGCTTTTAAATATTACGGTAATTGTCATTACGGTTCAATGACTGAGATCGAATTCCTATCTTTACTTTCTTATAAAAGAATATAACAAGTTACATACCTATTCTTAAATACTAATATTTGTTTATGAAGTAATTAACAAAAACATGAGCAAATAAACTTTGAATGTCGTTTCACATCTATAAATTTCTATTGCAAGAACATTATGCAAGATACTTTAATTTATTGACGCTTATGTAGGACGTAGTACAACTGTTGCGATTATCATCACAGATGGCGCTAAAGAAGAGTTTAAAAAAAAGTTATTTCATCATCTTTCTTTCAAGTTGCTATAATTATCTAAATTATAATATTTTGGATCTTGTTATTTTAACTAATATAAACATGCACATATAATAATTATAACAAAATTATAATTATTTTCACATACTATTATAATAAATTTTACTTAAACTAATAGAATGTTGCATTTTCAGTTTACTTTACAATATTTATAGTATCAAAAATTTTTATTAAGAAAGAAATTGACAAGACATTACTTTATAGATTATGTAATAGAAAATGGAAAATAACAATAATAATCCAAATATGAAGATTTTCTTCTTCAAATATTTCTCACTCAAAGTTATTTGAAGATAAAGTAATCTTATAGAGGAAATATAAAACAAATATAGTATATTTTTTTTAACATATTTAATCTATAACATTAGAATTAATAAATTTTATAATAAATTTTAATGATATAAATAAAAATTTACTCGTAAGAATAAAATTAAGAGTATCAATCAAACAAGTAACCACAATTTTCCTCTCAAAATTCTCATTGAAGCTTTTTTTATTTTTCATTTTTATTAATGAAAATTTCATTAACATATGCAATATTTCTAATTAAAATGAAACGAAATATTATTATAACATTCAACTCAAAGATCTTCATTCAGATTAGAGATTTTCCTTGTTTGGTCGCTGTTCTTTCTAGCTGTCCATCAATATATTTCAAAATGTCAAGAGGATTTGGAAAGCAAGGAGAAGTGAAAACATACGAATTAATTAAATAAGATATCTGCATTTTACAAAGCAATAAGTTACATATGAATCCTTATATGGGAAACCAAAAAACTGAGTCGCAGCACGCGTTTTATAATACAAACTGTATAGCCAACGTTGTTGGCTACGTATAGCGAAGTGTTAAAAAAGCGTAAAATGCTTTTCATTTTTGAAGAAGTAAGGCTTTGATATTTCGTTCTCCATGATACGTTGCACGTTTGAACTATGGGCCGTTGGATAGGCAACTGTTTGATAATTGTGCACATGGACGTATTTTTACATCTCGACACCACTGCATCGAGAAGCTCGACGTTTTCCCTTGGAAGACTGGAACAACAATTAATCCGTCGACAAAATCTACTGTCGGATAATATAGCACCAAAAACACGTAGTAAGAAGCAGAATATGAATAGCCACGACATCAACATGTTTTTCGAAATTCGAAATTAGCACCACCTAAGAACTTGTCATCTTTTCGATTATGTTGAGAAAAGAGTCACGAGTAAAATTATGCTAGTACGGTAATTGTACAAATCGACGGATTTCACTCGTTACTCGTCATTTTGTGTTTAAAAACTTTACCCTAGTGATAGAATCCCTACATATAGAATTGAATGATTTGATTTCTCTCCATCAATTTTGATTCGCTGTCGTTAATGTTGAATTCACCCGACAGTGGTAACGACGTTGATAGTAAGAAACTAAGTCTAGCAATTTTGATCTAAAATGTCTTCTTTTTTCCTGTGATATCATCCTTCTTGATGTTTTTTTAACATTTGTTGTCCTCCTTTCAGCCTTGTGAATCAACAAGTGTCCATCGATGACTCGACGATTGGCGATTCATCAGTAATTCTTTCGGCTATACGTTGATCAGTCGGTTCCTTATCTTTGTTTTCGTCGGATTCAAGATCCGACAACTGTTCACATCAATCACTAAAGAAAGACGTTTATAAATATAATTTCTATATATTACATATTATTATAATCAGATAAATTTTATAAATATGACTTCTATATATTACATATTATAATCAGAGTGCGGATTTCATAATTTCATAAATATAATTAAAAAATGGAACCTAAAAAGTTATTTTACTTACTTATAACGAGTATGATATTTTAGATATCTTATACATTTTCTAATATTATATACCTTTTATGTATTTTTACACTTTTGAGTTACTTGTAAGTGTATATAAATCCACAGTTTAAGTAATTATATGTTAAAATATTATATGCCCCAAATTGTTAAATTAAACAATTGATAAATACCTGTCACTATTTTCGGTTGTCCCTTCCTCGCTGCAATCTAAATCGAGTTCACCTTGTATGGCGCTCTGTAGATCATCAATTCGTTGAAGCGCCAATCTGAGATCATCCCTAGCGACTTTGGTCTCCGCTTCAGCAGCCTCAAGAGATTTTTCCAATTCGCGACGAGCACGCGTGGACTCTTGTTCACGCGCCAGTGCCGAACTGGCTTCTTCTCTTGATTCACGTAACGATCTTTGCAATCTTCTCGAAGCATCTTGGGCACTCTGTTCTTTCGTTCGAAGTAACGCAGTCTCAGTTTGTAGTTTATCCACGTTTTCTTTCAGTCTTGCTATTTGAGTCTAAATATATATTGAGAATATAAATAATAATTCTTAATATATACAAATAATTTTTAATTTAAGTGAAAGGAAAATAGCTTACTTCCAAGCGTGCTCTTGTCGTTTGCTCTAATTCGAGCTTACTTTCGAGCTCTTTAGCACGAAACTCGAGTCGTCGTGTGGCAAGACTGTTCGCAGTCGGATCACCAAGCTGCTCAACGGATTCAAGTCGTTGCGTTAACTCTGAAAGTTGATCCTTCAATGAAGATTTTTCTGCCTCCAGTGCAGCAATTTGCACTTGTGCTTCCTGCAACTGGCCCTGTTCCGCCGATACTTGCTGCACAGCCGCCCGATACTTTTTCAATACCTTTGGAATCAATCGTTAATTATATATTATATACTTGAATTATTTACTACAATTACTATGTATTATTAGGAAACACACTTCTGCCAATTCCTCTTCGTTCTCTTCCAATTGCGACAATAACTCAGCTCGCTCACGATTAGCTACATTAGCACGATCTTCTGCTTCAGAACGTTGTCGCAGTGCTTCCTCTAACGATGCCTGCGTCTCATTTAATTCTTGTTCCAGTGCTTGTTTCGCCTTAACTGCAACTGCTCTAGCACATTCTGCATCCTCCAATTGATTCTTCAGTTGTCGCAAAGCTGCTTTACCCGTCGAATCGCCTTTCGATCTCTCTAGCATCGTTTGAGCGTCTCTTAGTAATGCTTTGGTTCTTTTTAAATCTCTTTTTAGCCTGTAAAATTATAAAAAAAAATAAAGAAGATGTATATTCTGCGATTATAATCAATCGTAACATACAGAAATCTTTTTTTAATGATTGTCAGACTGCAAATATTTATGTGAACTCAGAGTTTCATAATTATGATAAATATGGTAAAAAAATAAAACTAAAATAAAGTTTACTTTATTCCATCTTGAAAAATTGTAATAGCGAGCAGTTGAATATTTCTACATTGAATACTTTTTATATTTTTCCATATTATATTATACATTTTAAACATTTTTGCATAAATATTCACAATCGAAAGATCGTAACATACCTATGCATGGTATCAGCTTCTGCAGCACGTTCAGCACGATCTTGTTCCTCGATGGCTACCAAACGACGTTCCAGTTCGTGCTTCTCCCGAAGCAATATCGTTCTCTCCTCGTGTTCGTTCTCTAGCTGTGACTCTAGAGCTTTCACCTTTTTCAAAGCGTTACCGCGTACGTCCTCTAGTTCTTCGTCCCTCTGTTGCATCTCTTTGCGTATCTCCTTGCGTTGTTGCTCGATACTCATCTCGAGTCTTAACTTTGCCTGCTCGAGCAACTGAACTTGACCAGCGAGGTCGTCCAACTCTTCTTCCTGATCCTTTACTCTTTTTTCCAGCTCATGCTTTGCTTTCTTCAACTGTGCTACTTCCTCCTCCGTTTTGCCACCAAACGTTAGCTCCTCAAGCTCTTGGCTCAGCGTTCGTAGCCTTTCTTCCTTTAATTCGATTTCTAGTCTTGCGTCCTACATTAGAAGTTGTGTGAGTGAGAAATTAGAAGTAAATAATTTCAGATAATATTTACTTTCTTTTTAACCGGAACATTTTGTTTTATATTAAATGAATGGAAATAAATGACAATTGTATATCATTAATTAATCAACGATCTATTTTCTGTATTTGCATTCAATGAATAATTACACGAAATACGATAATAAGTATGACATTAAGAAAAAAAAAGAATCAATTATCAAGAAATGAAAATATTTTTTTTTTTTATTTAAACTGATACTTACGCTGAGATTTTGTTCTATGGTAAACTTTTCTGCGATCGCGATTTCTTTTTCTCTGGCCAATCTTTCACGCTGCGCTTTCTCTTGTCGTAGATCGTTCATCAAATTCTGAGTTTCCGAATCGAACCTAAATAAATATACGAAGTCAGAAAACATATTTATAGAATGTAATATTAAGCATTGAAAAAGGAACTTATATATCACAGAAACTTATATCTAAAGCAGTCAATCACGGTTTATGCACCCAACGAACCTCCAACCAGTGGCTGATGTCGTCGGACGTGCAAAATTACCGACCTGGCTAATTGCCAGAAACACTTGTTGCCGCGAACGGAATCAGAATAGAGCATGCCCCGATACCGTGAAAATTCGACAAATTTAACGAGTAGCTAAGAATCGTGCCGCAAGTAAAAACCTTCTCTTTTGAATGGATAATTCGATTCTTCTTTTAAGTGTTATCAATCAAAATTATACAACTGATCAATAACAATAACTATTGTTTAATTAATATCATTTCACCAGAATAATCAGAACGATAATTTTTTTAAAATACGAATCTCCTGTTTTTTTTTTTTTTTTTTAAGAAAAATTCAGGAAATTGAACTGTTATGAACTTAAGTAACTTCAACGCTGCGCTTTCTCATTTTCTAATTATTTTAATAACATAGTGAATATAAAATGTTGAAAATAATTTGATATTAATTGATTTTACTTTTAAAATCAGGCAATTTTTAATTTGATGTTTTGAAAAATCGGCTTTCAAGTCTTACATGACAAAATTAGAACATCCTGCTATGAACATTCTCCAAACCTGCACAATCTACTAGTTCAGTACTGTTTACGCAAAAGTTTCCAAAAATACTTTCTACATAGTGGCAATGAAAGAAATGCGAAACGCTATTGAAACACCGGATAAAAAAAGACGGTGTAGAAGTTTCAAGTAGCACATACTTGCGCTGTTTCTTTTCTAGAAGATTATTCCTAGCCGTCTGTTCCTCTAGCAGTAATCTCAAGTCGTGCATCTCGCCATTTAGTTTTTGCACACGTCTTTTCCATTGTCCAACAACCTGACGTTGCTCCTCGACTTCTTCATAAGCATCAACTAACTACAAAGCGAAAATATTACTTTCATTGTAGCAATTTTATATACGAACATAATTCGCAGATGAAAAATAAATTTATACAACAGAATGAACAATGCAACCAGGCAAAGAATGATTTTGCAAGCAAAAATAATTGTAAAATTAAATGGAAAAAGATGAAGAAATTAATTTCTGTACTGGTTGTTGTAATAAAGTATTGGTTGACCGAATATGTTCAGCCAAGTATTTCTGTTTTAAACATAATTTTCTCGAAAACGGGACCTCAAATTACATTTTCCATATTTTCAATCTATAAAGTAAGCTTCCGTTTGTCCCTTGTTAACCACGAAAACAAACTTGCAAAAGAAAAAATTTTGTTCTTTATTTCCCATTCATTTTTATTAGCAGAATACAATCTAAAATATAATTTCTCAACGTGAAAGACCATTTGAATAATTTCAAAAAATTTCCACTTTGATATACCTTCTTTTCCAATTGCTTCTTAAGTCCAACCAGTTGTTCGAGGTCATCTTCGTGCTGCTGGGCCATCTTCCTCTTCGTAAACTCGAGTTCCCTTATGGCATGTTCGTATCTTTGCTTATAAACACCGCCGTCCTCACCATCTTCAGCGTCGGACGCAACACCATTTAAGTCTGCGGCCCTTGCATACAAAAGCTCCATCTCCAGACGTTCGGTCGTTTGCTGTAGATTTTTATTCGCCTCTGTCACATCTTGTAGCTCTCTTTCGAGTCGCAGACGTTCCGACGTTTCAGCATCGATCCTTTCAGCCGCCAACGTCGACGTTGAGTGTTCCTCCGCAAAATCGGCAGTCATCTCGCTCAGCTGCAATAAGAATCAAGATAGAAAATTATTTACGTTTCATTTACAGACGGCTTCTTGGCTTGCTTGATATTTTTCACTTCTCGAATAATATTTGATGTCAAGTATTATCGATAATACCATGAACGAATTATTCATCAATGTTGATGATACAGACTCATCATGTAACTTAACCGACTTGATACGGCTGAGTTAAAAAAAGAAAAATGAAAACATAAAAACAAAAATTCATGTAGAACTAAAATAATCTACGAAGTGTCATCATCTGTATCTTTCTTTCCTATAAATCTTACCGTCATTCTATTAACATTATAGTATTAGTATTTCTGTACTATACTACGCTGTTTGTAGATTTTTTTT